GGCTGCTTACTGTTCACGCTGTGCTTGTTTAGGTCCTTTTGTTGATGGCCTGCTTCAGTGCCCTACTCTGCACATATGCGCATGCGTTCTTTACCGTTCAAGGTAAGGAATTTCGAACGCTGCGCGATGAAATCTAAAAATAACTTCTTCAGAATGTGCCAGCTATCCAGCATTGGTTACTGATGCCGATTATGTGAGGTTTGCCGAAGGTTGTGCTGGAAAAGAAGTCCTCGGATTCAAGGTTCAACAAGAATTCCACGCAATCAGGCTCACTGAACCTCTGTTCAATGGACTCTTCGCAAATGCTCGCAGAATCAACTTCCACATTTATGTCCAGAACACAGAGTTTAGGCATATAGAACTACCCAGCGTGGAATATATTCCAGGTGGGCTGGCACAACTAACTCATCCAAAACTTTTTTCTACAACTAAATATCATGACAAGAGGCGTCAGTCATCGAATCATTGGAGCGCTATACCATCAGTTAATCTCTGGGAAACTGGGTAGTAAAGGTCTTCTACGCAAGGAGTACGCAAAGCAGAACATTAGTCGTACCTATGCCTTGAGGTATCGCTTAAAATTCAGAAAATGAGATCATCACAAGAACAATCTACTGGCTGCTTTCATAGTCCACCAGCGAGCGCGCGAGCCGGTTTCGCGGACTATGAAAGCAGCCACTGTGGACCGTAGCGAGAAAATATGAGGTGAGGAAAGGCGGTGACTACAAATTACAGTAGGAACTAATTTTTCATGGAGAGAAATGAATTGCCGATGCCAATGAGAGGGAGTCACAAGGAAAAGTCGATAGGCAGTTGAACAGAAGCCAATTAAGCTCTGTTGATAGGAACAGCTTTTCCAAGCTCACTATAAGGATTTGATTGGCACCGTTTCTATCGCAAAAGACCGATTTCAGGACTCACAATCAGAAATAATGCACTATTGGAACAATTCCGCATTTTGAAACGCTATCAGTTCGACAGGACTGTTTTCGGGCCAACAGTTGTTACAGTGGATGGCAATAAGATGTTGGACGACGAGAGCATGGGCTGTCTGCGGTATCTCTGCTCATACTGTGATATCTTTAAGTGGTCAAGTAAGTCCTTTTGAATTCATCCGGGGTTTCTGAAGAGAAAAGTGGTAGATCCTAAATCGCGGAAATATGATCCGATTGCTGAGCAACAAAAATGCTGAGAGTTTTGTTGTTTTGCGGTGCACAGATAAATAATTCAGGTCTCTATTCGACACATCGAAAAAATGTCTTGGGCATGGAGACGAGTGGACGGATCATTCGCCCAATTCCGGATGGACGCAGCAAAATGCGCTGCGAAATTCGTGGGGATATAAATGATTAGGGCACAGGTTTCAAGTAAAGTAGATTACTAACCCTGACCCTACTAAACTATTTTACTTCGACTTTGTGCCCTAATGAGAGGCGTTAGAGTCGCTCAAATCGCCAGGAATGTTGCCGCGCTTTGCCTCGTACACCTACAAATGGGCGGATGGTCTGCCCCCGAGCAGATGTAAGAAACACCACGTTTCTCAAATTTTTTCCTTTTGACGAAAATATTATCCTTTGTTATTCCGATGCACATTCGTTTTCCTGCTCATTACATTCATTGCTTTCCAGAATGCAGTGCGCTCGAGCCGGTCTCACCTTTCAACTATGGTCGACTTGTTGAACAATGTCGAGGAGAAAGGCTCATCAAAGCACGACCCTACAGTCACTTCATATTGCACCTGCGTTATATGACTTATGAGCAGTTCAGAGCCCTTTTTGCTGAGGCCACTCATATTCAGTTGGGCTTCAGAATGATTCGTGTGCCTTGGACTATGATAGAATTTCCGAAACTCGTCCGATTAATCCCAGTTTTTCCAGGTATCAATTTTAATCACTAAGATACAGTGATAGTACTATAGCTGAAGTATTGCTAAAGTTCTATGGCGATGAAACGCCAAAGCATGACTGCTTCTTATGAAAAAGCGAAAAACAAAATGTGATAATGGTTATTTCAGGGGTACGCACTATCGTCGCCAGAAATAATCCATATCTAAAGATAATATCCTTCCCTCTCTACCATTCTGAAGGGTTTGGTGCACTCAACTATATGGAATATGTTGAAATTGTAAGGAATCGTAGGCTCAAATATGAAATCACCTCTTCGTTGGAGCAACGCTGTAGATTCTGCTATCTTCAACCGTATGACGGTGAATCTTTACCTTTTTTTATTTCTTATTGCTGTCATCTACTGCTTGATATAGAGAAAAGGCTGATTCCACACCACCTACAGGGACCAATTGAAACTACTCAACTTATTTCATACGATTTAAAGAGCTGGGAAATGGGGGCGGTGTTAGTTTCTATTTTGGAGTGGACCTGTTCAGCGACGTCCCTGTAGGGGGTGTGGCGCAGTAGGAACGAATTTGTCGCGTCGCAGCTAGAGGGACGTCGCGCGCGAAGAGATGTAGCAGAATGCAGCAGCAAGTAAGAAATACACGAACAAAAGAATTAACAGTAAGATCATGCCAAAAGTAATAATCGCATGGCAAATGAGCTGTATGAAGAAAGCCAGATTTGTTATAACGGGGCGAATGGCCCGGGACAGCCGCGTTGCGGCGGTTCGATTATTGAAAGCCTTTTCAGTATCAACGTACCATCTGGTGTATTCACTTTTCCAATCTAAGCTTCCAAGCCGTTATGGTATAAATCATTTTAGAGTCGTCACAGTTCATGAGAACCAAGGTGGTATTCCATTTGTCGATGCTGCCATGCTATATCAGGCAATGGGGGTCATTGTATGTACAGGCCACATACGCATTCAATGCGCCACTGCGATTCTGAATGGAAGTCGAATGCGTGGGCGCATCCCTCGGGCGGAATTGACTAACGCTCCAAAACTCTATCTTTCTTTATAACAGGCACTGGGGGGGAGGTGGTGTAGTGGCAAGGGGCGTACTTCACCACGCATGGTCGATCGATCCGTCTAGGGCAGCCGAGCCCTCCATCCCTCCGGGGTCATTTAAATGGTACCGGACGGTCTAGCCTCTACAAGTCATTGTATAGGCCCCATACGCACTCAATACGCCACTGCGATTCTGAATGGAAGTCGAATGCGTGGTTCGAATTGGCTAACGCTCCAAAACTTTATCTTTCTTTATATCAGGCACTGTGGCCTACCTAAATTCCCTATTTGTCAAACTTCTCCCTCCCTTTCCAATAATTTCAATTCAGTCATTAGTGATCACCAGTATAAACAAAAGGAATACAGCTTCTGCTTTGTCAAGCATAAGATGAATTCTTACTTCTTGTCAATGACAATGACCTTTTTGATAATGACTAATCTCAACACTTTGTAGCTTGCGCCTCTCTTGAAGTAGAACAAACCACGAATGTTGTTGAATTTGCTCAAATGTGTTCCGGCAAGAGAGTGTGGAAGCCACAGGGATCTGCGGTGATCGAAATCGACATCTCATCACTGGAGCAGGAAATTATCGACGAGCTTTTCCGTAGCGTAACCTACATAA